ACTGACCTCTTTCTATTGTAACGCTTCGCTAGACAACACTTTCATATAAATGTACTCATGTCATGTCGGTCAAAATCACAAAGTGAGGGAGCATCACTAAAAGGGACCTATTGTAGATGCTACTGTGTATAGTATTCTAATAAGACACTATTTTATACACAACATCTTTCTAGAAGCTTCATTTTTTTTCAATCATTTACAAAATTCATATAAATGGACACTTTGGGGTTGCCAGGTTGTGGCAAGACACTCAGATGGGAAAAGAAGCACAGACAACTGGAAGGATCGTTCAATCAAGGCAGCTTGTTGGTATTTCCATAGAAACCAGCTGTTTAACTTTGAACGATGTCGGTTTCTGACACCACGTCAATCTGTTGCCTGAAGCAAACTAAACCCTTGGAGCAGATAAGAAACCATAATGGAGAAATGTAGAATGCTTTGTTTAATTACACTGTAAATCATAGCAAAACATTTGAATGATAAGAGCCTCAGACAGAGTTTAAGTATCTTGTGTCCCACCGAGAGGAGCCCCCGGGGCAGACCCAGGACACGCTGGAGAGATTATATCTCTCAGCTGGCCTGGGAAGACCAAGGCGTTCCCAGGCCAGGTCTTCCCCCTGGATAAGCTGGAGGAGGTGGCTGGGGAGAGGGAGGTCTGGGCTTCTCTGCTTGGGCTGCTGCCCCCGCGACCCGGCCCTGGATAAGCAGAAGAAAATGGATGGATGGATGGATGGATGGTAAGAGTCATTATTGGGGTGGGGGTCAGAATCCAGGGCCATCACCTGTAGTTCATGTAGATAATTATTATTCAAAAAAATCCATTAAGCAGAAATAGTTTTTTATATCACAGTGAAGTGTTTGTAGTTATACCATCGTATATAAATTCATAAGTAAAAAGATTAGTATTAACAGTATTAGCAATTCTTACTTTCATTGACATTTTTAACATTTTTAAGCTTGTATTACCCCACAGTCAGAGCATGCTGCTACTGTTGTTCATTAGTTTTTTAACATACAATGTATTCTAACAACAGCCACAGCTTTTTAAATGCATCAGTATTTGATGAATAAATAGTTCAAAATTAATTACTTTCAAGTTTTTCATTTTTTTGTATTATTGAGGGGCCTTTTCTTACAAACACAAAGTTGATAATTAAAATTAATTATTGACTCTGACCTGAATTCAGGATTCCCAGGAAACCTGAAATATTCAAATTCAAAACAGAAATATTGTCTTTTTTTCTGACAGACAGGAGCTGCTCTGTCCTGCATAAAACTCTATTAACTTGCGAATACATTTACAGGTTTCAAGTTGTATTAAAAGGCATTACTGTGCATTGTGTCACCACATGTTTTTAAATGGGCATTTTAAGACACTTTAGTGATATTAAATAAAATGTTTAACAAATTTCTGCTTTTTTAAATACAAACACATTTGATTTATTAGTATTTTTACCATGCAATAATTAAGTACAATTAATTAATTATGCAAATCTCCTTTTTTTTTTTTTTTTGCCTGTCCCATTTGGTTCTTTAGCCATCAGAATTGTTGTCTGAAGACCAACAAGGATACCCAATGGATTTACTTTGCCAAATGGATCATCGTGGCATTGCCATATTGGTCCATTTGATCGACCTTTGTTTTTAATTATTTATTTTATTTTATTTTCAGATGTTACAAACGGGACAGACATGAGTGAGGGATAGGAAAGGGAGAAAGAAAGAGGAAGGAAAAGAAAAACAGAAGGGGAGAGGGACAGTGAGAAAGGGGGGAGAAAAAAATCTCCTGGATCACCTGTTGAGAGAAGAAGAATAGAAAACAAGCAAAAAAAAAAAAGCAAAGCAACATACTAAACACAACACCATCGCATTAATCTAGCTAAGTGTAAACAGCAGTAAATACTAAATATTCAATGTTGTTGTGCAGCACGCAGGACAGACAGCGCACAATGTGCTTTGAAGTAGCAGCCAAGAAAGGTGTGATTTGAGTCTACGAGCAGTGAACACCCGTGTGCATACCTGTGTGGATCAGCGCGCTTGTATTCAAATGGTTTCCACATGTAATGGTCTGCAAGAGGATGTAGCGAGCCATAGCCCCGTCCCCAGGGCATGAAGCAGGCATGGAGGAGATCCAGGCCCCAGACATCCAGAGGCCTCAGAGTGCGAGAGCCCAAGGAGGACCACCGGAGGGCATCCGTGCCACCCTCATGGGAAGGGCTGAGGATCCCCAGACGAGGCGTCACCCAGTAGCCACCGAGCAGAAGCTAGAGGGGGCTGCACCGGCGTGCCCGCCAGCTCTGCCGGTGGCCAGCTGTGCCAGAGTGAACCGAGCCGCAGGCCCAGAGGCCGCAGGCCCGAGGGCCCCCCGCACCCCGGAGGAGGCCTGACCGAGCAACAGGCACCAGTGCCCAGCCCCGGACACCAAGAACCACCAATGCACCGACCCCTGAGGGCATCAGTCACCGGCAGGGAGTGTGATGAGGGGAGATAGGCCTTGGAGGGCCTGGGAGTTCCCAGAGAGGTGGAGTCTAAGACCCGACCTGACATATAGACACAGACAAACAGGCACACACAGACACAAACATTCATTCCCACCCTCATGCACACATATACAAACTCAGCACTCACCCAACGTAAGGATTGACATAAATGGACATGTACACACAATCACACTCCCCAAACATACTCTATACCCCGGGTCCAGGTACCCTCGCCCCAGAGCGGGAAACAGAACCCAGACCCAAGAGATGTTACCCTTCCCCCTGGGGTGGAGCCAAGCAGACCGTCCCAGGCTCCGCAGCAGCAGGGAGGCCAATCGGACAGCTAACATCTCCTCCCAGCCCCCGCCCCAATGGCTAGCAGAGAACGGGGTGTGTGAAGACCCCATACCTCCCTCCTCCCGCTCATGTGTAGTGTTGCTGCGTGTTGTTCTAAAGTGCATTTAAAACAAGGGAGAGCATGGTGCTGCTGCCAGAGAGCAGCAGGTGTTAGCACGGCCCCTCCCGAGAACCCTCAATGTCTACATGGATTTAAAATTGAGAGGTGGGCACCAGCGCCAGAGGTAGGTTTGAGGTAGGTTTGAGTACACAGACCGTCCACTGGACGCCGTTAACGTGCCCACCTTCAAGGCCCAATGTGTGTGTTATGAGAGTGTAAGTAATGTGGATGTCTAAGTTGTGAGATAAAATTGAGGCACAGGTGGCCAGAAGGGGACAGGGGGGGGGGGGATGTCTCCCCTGCACCCTTGTGACACACCTGCACCCCAAGGCCCTACCTGTGTGGGTGAGTGTGGTGGAGCGGGAAGAGGGAGGTAGCCGGGGATGGGGAGGAAAAGGAGGGAGGGGAGGATGCCCCTCCCTAGGGCCAGCTCCCCCGCTGACCCCAGTAGGCACCCCCATCCTCTGGTACCCACCAAGGCAAGGGAGCCCAGGTCCATCCAGACCGGGGCCTACGGTAGCACTGCCAAGCCCCACAGGACCCGGGGCAGCCCACCCTACCCCACCGCAGAGGAAACTGTACACACCCCAACATTCAATCGTCTCCCAGACTACACAAGACAACAGACACCCAGGTTAAGTTTATTCTCCACCTCTCCTATCTCTCCCCCACCTGCAGAGTGGACTCCTGCAAGGATGGAACAAGGATTATGTAAATCTCTAATAAAGCAGGAGAAATTAATAGCATGTCCAGAGTTTGTGTGTCCTTTCCCTGCCGTTATCCTTGTATAAAGTCTCCACTGTTGTGTGCTCTGGTGCATAGGTATGAGGTGCCGTAAGGGACATTATTACTGAAACGCTCTCACACACACTACTGAAACGCTCTCACACACACTACTGAAATGCTCTCACAGACACTACTGAAACGCTCTCACACACACTACTGAAACGCTCTCACACACACTACTGAAATTTACCTCTCACACACACTACTGAAACGCTCTCACACACACTACTGAACTTTTACCTCTCACACACACTACTGAAACGCTCTCACACACACTACTGAAATTTTACCTCTCACACACACTACTGAAACGCTCTCACACACACTACTGAAACGCTCTCACACACACTACTGAAATTTTACCTCTCACACACACTACTGAAACGCTCTCACACACACTACTGAAACGCTCTCACACACACTACTGAAATTTTACCTCTCACACACACTACTGAAACGCTCTCACACACACTACTGAAATGCTCTCACACACACTACTGAAACGCTCTCACACACACTACTGAAACGCTCTCACACACACTACTGAAATTTTAGCTCTCACACACACTACTGAAATGCTCTCACACACAATACTGAAACGCTCTCACACACACTACTGAAATTTTAGCTCTCACACACACTACTGAAATGCTCTCACACACACTACTGAAACGCTCTCACACACACTACTGAAATGCTCTCACACACACTACTGAAACGCTCTCACACACACTACTGAAATTTTAGCTCTCACACACACTACTGAAATGCTCTCACACACACTACTGAAACGCTCTCACACACACTACTGAAAATCCAAGGCATTTCAGTTGAACAGGAAGGCGTTTCAGTTGAACAGGAAGGCATTTCAGTTAAACAGGAAGGCGTTTCAGTTGAACAGGAAGGCATTTCAGTTAAACAGGAAGGCGTTTCAGTTAAACAGGAAGGCGTTTCAGTTGAACAGGAAGGCGTTTCAGTTGAACAGGAAGGCATTTCAGTTAAACAGGAAGGCGTTTCAGTTGAACAGGAAGGCATTTCAGTTGAACAGGAAGGAGTTTCAGATGAACAGGAAGTTGTGTCCAGACCAGGAAAGTGAAGGAAAAAGTGGTACACTTCAAACCACTACACAGATGTCTACTCAGCAACCTGCTAGTAGCCTAAGTGAAGCAGCCGCATTACTCAACAGTATATTATCCTCAGCAGAGACCATCAGAACTTTGTCAAATGCGACAGTCGTGGGGCAGCAACCTGTTGCAAGTACCAGTGTGGACGGACTGGATAGTCACTTAACATCCCTCTTTCCCTCACGTCAACGTAGCAGCTTGCCCATGCCAGCGACATCTACAGTCAGGAGAGAATGTGCACCTGCACCACGTTATCAAACTCGGCAATGCTTCGGCAGCTGGACATCAGGCACCAGAAGAAAAAGGTAGTTACAAAGTTTAATGAGTTTGTATTCACTTGCCTGAAATGGGGCCATATGTAATAGTCTGATATTTAATAGCAGGGCTCGCAAAATCGCTAGCCCGACGTCCCGGGGCTAGCGATTTTTCCAGGCTACCAAAATCTATCTCTGCCCTGCCCGTAGGAAGGAAAAATATATGTCTATGCTTTTGCATTCTTTCGGAAATGTAGCTGGGTAATTATGTCATTGGCATCGGTGAGCCACTGTCAATATGTGACATATTGAAATCGCGTTTGAATTTGCGCTTGTTTTTGCTTTCACTTTGCAATCACGCGAACTGTGTATAGAGAGCGACAGCACTGATTGGTGAGTGATGATAATTTGCGCACCAATTCCTCTGACATCGTCTTATCAATCGTTAGCTTACTATGCAAACATGACAAGTGAAATCTCCCGCAGCTTAAACATGTGAGAGGTTGATTGCGCAGAGAATCGCTGAGCTTATGTGAGTCCGTGTGTAAAAGCAGCAGGATTTATATTTTAGTTCTGCTGAGCCAAATAAGACAGGTCAGGGTGAAGAAGTGACAGCCAAAGAAAAGCTTACCACAAAACGGAGAAGTTATGACAAATCAGACTATAAGGCAAAAAGAAAGTGCAGCTTTATGGTTTCATGGACAAAATAATTTCTGTGGCTGCAATGACGAGCTAAATAACCAGGGCTGCACATAAGTGGTCCGCAGGTGCGCATTCGCTGTCAAAACAAAAGACACGCACAAGATAAGAAGTTGCAACGCGTGTTTGCGTACATAGGATTTTCTGGAGGAGGACAGACATTTGTTTAGAACTCTTAAAGATGTCGAAGAAGCTCCTTTAAGCAATTACTTTGGTTTTCCTCCACCTCCAAAGAAATGTCAGAAGGAGTCCGAACCACAAAAGAAGCACGTATTCTCGGAAAAGTATAAAAAAAAGTATACAAAATTAACCCTTATGTTTGCCTAACTACAACAATTTTGTCTATGAAAGCATTCTGTGTAGGGGTTTGGATAGTGTTCTGCTGTCTGCATCTCAGTATTATTAGTTATCACTTGCTGTTGTTTATGGTATCTAATATTTATATTTCAGAGCTATGGCCCAGCAGCATGACCATTTCAACAAAGATGTTATACTACTTCCAACTCCATCATGGGGAGTAGTGTGCAAACAAGGTTCAAAATTATGGTTACACAAACATGGGCACATCCTCAGTGCTTTTGAATTCCAGAAGACCTGGGACAACCAAACTGTCGTGAAACACCTCAAGGAAAGCTTTGGTGAACGCCTTCCAGAGGATGTCAGGTAAAATACTATTGTTTATTGTTACTGTGTGTATTCATGTAATGACTTGTACTTAAAGATAATATACCAAAGTAAAGAAGTTTAAAATATCATTCATCATTATAAAAACATATGACTATACCAGTAGAATTTAAGTCATAAAAGCATACACACAAACAGAACAATATATAATAAAATATTTAACTAATACTTAAAATATTTAACTAATTAGCAATTGCTGTTGTCCCTATTTATTTTTTGTAGCCTCGAGTTTCTAATGGCTTGTGGCAATAAGCTGGTGTCTCCAAAGCTCCAAGTTGGTCAGGAGCTGAATGGGATGCTGATCCTAAAGGTTTTTAAAACCAAAGCCCTCTATGTAAGGCCATCAAGGACACTTTTAGTAAGTTACTAAAAGAATGAAAAGTAATCATGATTTGGGAAAAAACATGTCAACAATTGGGCTTCTAACAAAATAGAATATATTTATTTAAAACAAGTGTTTGGGAGCAATCAATATGGATATTTCTTATTTTAATCTTTTTAAGATAAGCTATAATTACTTGCTTTTGATATATGTTTTTGGTCTTTTTCTGTTGAAGAGTGAATCAGATGAAGACAAAGATCCTTCCCACATCAGCTCCAAATCAGCATTAAGCAGTTGTGCAACTGATAAGGACAGTGACAATGATTGTTTTGAAGTTGATAGTTCAAAAATCCAACAAGACATGAGCAGCCAAGTCACTACAAGGTTAAGAAGTCATGTTAAAGGTGATAACCCTGGCACTAGCAGTGATGAAGAAGATGATACTGGGACCAACTGTATTAGAAGGAGTGTTGGTAAAAGGCAACGAGCAAAGCAAGGAAGTGATGGAACAGCATTTGTGATGAAGGCTACATGGCAAGAAGTGATTACAAACCTAGCACAAGCAGTCACAGCAGAGATTTCAATGCAAGAAGTGAAGACATCCCTGCCATGAGCGTTAATGATGAAGATTATTCTTCATATTTAACTCTCGTGGCATCGCTTTCTGGCGATTCTTCAGATGATGAGGATTTAAATCAAGCTATAATTGCGAGCTTGGAGAATCAGATGTGAGTAACAAACATACAGAATTTGAGTTTGAGACATAATTTGGGCTTTCCATAATGTCAAATCAATATAAACCTTTAAAGCTTTAACTCTCTATGATCAGTGTGACACATATTCTCAAATTCTGTAACATGACTACATGGCTGATATATTTTATTTTCTGTTTTATTTTCTTTTTTTAGTGCAGAAAAAGTCCCTGTTCAAGAGATACTGCTGGAACTATCAAGCAAAATTAGCACAAAACAGCAGTGCAAATTTAATATAAATCGCTCTGCTGTGTGGGAGGGAGCCTTGCGTGGTTTTCAAAGGCTATCTTATGATCCCAACTTGATGATCTGTGTGAAATTCTCAGATGATATGAGGAAAAATGAGGAAGGGGTTGATTTAGGTGGGCCAAGGAGGGAATTCTTGAGACTATTGATGGACACCATTGCCAGGTCAGCCATGTTTGAGGGGAAAGAAAACTGCAAGAACTTGGCTCTTGACAGTACTGGTAATTACCTATTTTTCTAAGATTAATAGTGGGAATGTTTAACTGATATTTATTTTTACAGGCAACATTACTGACAATTTTGCTTTTCCTTTTATTCTGTTGCTTTGCAGCTCTCAGAGGGGACTGGTACTACATCTCTGGAGAGCCATTGCAGTGAGCTTGGTACATGGTGGTCCACCACCTAACTTTCTGTCACCAACAGTATTTTCCCTTCTGGTTGGAAATTCAGCAAATCCAGCCCTGGAAGACATAGCTGACCTGGAACTCTTTGAAAAAGTCCGAAAGGTCTCTATATGTTTATTTTATAAATCTTATAGTGAATTGAAAATAGTTTGTGTTCCAGTTTTCTTTTGCAGGGAATGTTTATCCGGATCAGTCTGGCCATTGCTGAATGCCAAGTTTTTATATTTTGCTGCTATATTAAACTAAGATTCAGTAGATAAGGGTAGACGAAAGAGTATATTTTATCATTTTTTTAAGCACATTGTAAACATATTAAAAAAATATGTGTAGTCATTTGACTTCCAATGTACGCGCAGGCATATTGTGATTGTGTAGACCACTGGTGGCTGGGTTCCTTCTAATAGGTTATAAGACTACTGAGTAACTTCCATAACAAGCCCTTCCTCTGCTCTTTGTGATGCTAGATATCTCAAAGTACAACCCTTGAGGACCTTGAAAAGTCAAAAGAACCTCTGCTTGATTACTTGGCCAATGCAGGATGCCTGAGGCCTATGCGTTCACTAAGAGACAGGGATCTGCTGGTACATGATATTGTCATGTTTCAGGTCATCCACAGGGTTCAAGGTCCATTTCAAAGGTATTTTGGTATTCTGTGTTTTCAGATTAATTAAAATGTGATAAAATCTTACCTATTAATCAAAATGGCCAGTTAATAACCTAGTATAACTGATTGTGCCAAATTGATAATATACAATTAACTTAGAAGCATGAAATTGCAGAATTATTGAATAAAATTTCTTTGTGCTGTTTATCCAGATTTTGTGAAGGTCTGAAAACTCTTGGGGTTCTCGAGAAAATGAGGAGGCATCCAGACAGTTTCGCCCGCTGTTCTGCTATGAGCCACATATGCTGACTGCTGACCAGGTGGATGATCTTTTCAACATTCATCTATCTCCAGAAAGAAGCAACAGAAGAGCTGCTGAGGAGACAGTTGTTACCTTCTGGAGAGACTATCTCCAAGATGCAGAAGGTAATTGTCACTTTAGTGCACAATAAATAGATGTAACGATTTATAGGTTAGCATTTCTGAAATCTTTATTTTAAAGAACATACTCATATAACAATAACACCACATTACCCTCTTGGTTGTAGTAACATTTTTACATAGTTCTTTGAGACTATTGAAAGATGAAAAGCATGCTCTATAGTCATTGCAATAACAGTCATTAAGATTCTTGCTTTAGATTTGTACTCACTGACAATTTATGTTGGCCAAATGAAATAACCTTTAACACTTTTTTCCTTCTCTGTTTATGCAGAAGAAGAAGGACCTTCCAAATTACAGAAGATATTGGCCTTTGCAACTGGAGCAACTGCGGTGCCACCTATTGGCTTTTCCCCAGCACCCTCGATTGAGTTCATTCATAGAGGAGACGATGACTTCTCTTCTACACCAATTTTCCCTCTTGCCAACACGTGTGTTAACTGCATTAGGCTGCCACTGCATGTTTCATACCAGCTGTTCAAGGAGAAGTTTGATTTTGCATTAGGTAACACTTACGGCTTTGGCAGGGTATGAACACATTATGCTGGAGGAGTTTGCGTGTTTCTCTTTTGTATTGGTCTCTCTTTTGATTCAAAGTGAGTATTGAGTATTAACTTGTTAAGGTTTAATATTTCCAAATTTACCTGCTTCAGTCAAATTGATGTTTAAGACATCAATTTGACAAGAAGTGATTGTTCTTCAGGATTCATACAGGTAGATACCAATTGTTTAACAGCACGTCAGAAGTTAATTTAGATTGTTGAGTTTGAATATACAAAATTTGTGTCACTTTACTCATTTCATGTGTATGTCCATCGGTTTTTGATTTGGTTGTCTTTGTGTCTGTTTATTCTTCTGCCTGTGTCAGTTTCTGTTTGACAACAGAGCTGTCATTTTATCATTTTAAAGAAAATGGTTTCAATATGTTAGTTTCGATCACATATGTTTTCTGAAATGTTTTTTTATATATCTTTTTTTATTTTTTGCAAATATTTTATTTAATGTAGAAGGTGTAAAAGTGAAGAAAACACATCTATTCCATGATTTCCATCATTTTCTAATGGATTCACTTGTTGAATTATGTTCATTGCAGTCTCATTTATGTTGATGTCAATAGCTGGAATATTGACATTATTGTTTGTTTGAAGTTCTGGTAATGGCCCTTCTTCATCAACGCCATAATAGTTATCAACATGAAAAATGTCATTTATAAACGACAGGATTCCCACATTGTTTGTGACACCTGTATGCCACAGCTGAAGAGGGGTCTGTCCTCCTTGTGTAGAGAGACCATGGTTGTTCCACTGATTGACAAATTCTGTTAATGCTCTTTCAATCCTTGGCAAATAAACATAATGCAGACAAAAAAGATGTAGCTCATTCAGTGAATCCAACATACCCTGTTCTTCCATAAAGTTAAAGATATTTATAAAGTGTCTTGATACAACTCTGTTGAGTTCTGCCCACAGTCTTTCAATTCTTTGGTTATGTACTGAAACACCTGTAATAACACTGCCTACTCCTCTTCTCTGTAACATAAAACGAGCAACCTGTATATTTCCATACCATGATCACACCTGACCCTTAAGGGCAAACCAAAGTTTTGTATTCCTTCCAAAAATAATGACAAGACACTTGAGGCTCTGTTATTGGATAAGCAACGTAAGTATATGATAGTTCGGCTGAAGCCATCAACACAGCCATGCAGGACCAAGCGCCATCTAATCAATTTGTGGTTGCCGTCAAAATGCCTGTTGAGAGATCAGAAAGCATTACTACAGTTCCACATGTTTGTTCATATTATTTAGTAGTGAATTCCTGACCCTGTACTTAAACAAAAACTAGAGGTTTCATTTTGTACATTTACTTCAACAACAGCACACATCTGTCTCTCACACACACACACACACACACACACACACACACACGTGCACACACATACACACAGTGGCATAAAATGTCTTTTTCCACACTACGTTTACCTGGCACAATTGATGTTAGAGATTAAAATTGTGATGTAAAATAAAGGATTAAACAACTCAACAGTATATACATTAGACAACATCTAAATTGATGTACTATGAATCCCCCAAATATTTAACATACTTATATCAATTTCAGTTTTTTGGTTATTGTTATTTTTTTATTATTATTATCTTATGCTGATCATATAGATTAACTTCAGTAATGTTTTGAATGAAGGACCATTAATTTTGATGTATTGTGTTAATACTTTTAAACACAAGGCCTGATCATTTGTTTCAAACCAGTGAACTTACCATAAGTGGTTGGGGGCCTGAACACTATAGATCCTTCGCCTTATCGCATGACGACGTCTAAATGCACGTCCAATAGGATCCACTTCCTGTAGACTTTGTCTGACCCTCCAACGTTGAACTCTTAAGCCACGAGATCTCAGACTTCCAAGAATGTATACTTCCCCTGCATTTGGAGTGTTCTGTAGGATATCCGTCACAAGGCCATTCAGTTCTTGATTTGAAATATCCACATAGCTTAATGGCTCAACTCCCAAAGTTTGTCTGTGTCTGTACAGGGTTCTTCGACTTATTCCAAAGCATGATGCAATTCTCTGCCATGTCATACCAATGGAAACAAAGTGAGAAATCTGTTCAGCAGATATAGTGTATCGTGGCCGACCTGGATGACCACTCAAGGTGGTTGGGGGTAACAATCTGTGGGTCACATAAGCAGATCTCTGTCTAGCATCATATTCATGTAGCAAGCTGCAAAGCATCTATACAAGGATTGTAGTAGGTTGGTGGCAACCCTATTATTGGGATCATATCGAGATACAGCAGCAAGAAATTCTGATAGAGTTCGTGTATGATCATCTAGCTCTCTATAAAGCCGCTCTTGTCTGATATTGTCCGAATTTTCATTTTGGAGCGCCCCAATACATTGCAGAGCACAAGTAAAAAATCTTTCAACATCTTCTTCATTGGTTCTCACCTCAAAAAACAAAGAAAGTATGTAAAAAATGACAAGGATCTGATGTAATTTCATTGTAGATGAGGTACTGTCAGACACAGTCTTTCCAGATTATACGGGCAGCTAGCATAGCCAGGATGCCCTGACTTGTTGCAATAGGCTGCTACCCTACAACAATGTTTGGATAGTCACTGATGAAGGCAAAATATTTTCAATTATACCTCTAACAGACTGTTGTCGACGTCACCGCGGTGTTAGCTGTGCATTAATGTGTTATTTGTTTTTCCTCACCTTCCTGTACAGCTAAAATGCCTTCCTGTTCAATTGAAATCCTCTTGGTTTTCATTAGTGTGTGTGAGAGCGTTTCAGTAGTGTGTGTGAGAGCGTTTCAGTAGTGTGTGTGAGAGCGTTTCAGTAGTGTGTGTGAGAGCATTTCAGTAGTGTGTGTGAGAGCGTTTCAGTAGTGTGTGTGAGAGCGTTTCAGTAGTGTCTGTGAGAGCATTTCAGTAGTGTGTGTGAGAGCGTTTCAGTAGTGTGTGTGAGAGCGTTTCAGTAGTGTGTGTGAGAGCATTTCAGTAGTGTGTGTGAGAGCATTTCAGTAGTGTGTGTGAGAGCGTTTCAGTAGTGTGTGTGAGAGCGTTTCAGTAGTGTGTGTGAGAGCGTTTCAGTTGTGTGTGTGAGAGGTAAAATTTCAGTAGTGTGTGTGAGAGCATTTCAGTAGTGTGTGTGAGAGCATTTCAGTAGTGTGTGTGAGAGCGTTTCAGTAGTGTGTGTGAGAGCGTTTCAGTTGTGTGTGTGAGAGGTAAAATTTCAGTAGTGTGTGTGAGAGCATTTCAGTAGTGTGTGTGAGAGCGTTTCAGTAGTGTGTGTGAGAGCGTTTCAGTAGTGTGTGTGAGAGCATTTCAGTAGTGTGTGTGAGAGGTAAAATTTCAGTAGTGTGTGTGAGAGCGTTTCAGTAGTGTGTGTGAGAGCGTTTCAGTAGTGTGTGTGAGAGCGTTCAGTAGTGTGTGTGAGAGCGTTTCAGTAGTGTGTGTGAGAGCGTTTCAGTAGTGTGTGTGAGAGGTAAAATTTCAGTAGTGTGTGTGAGAGTGTTTCAGTAGTGTGTGTGAGAGCGTTTCAGTAGTGTGTGTGAGAGCGTTTCAGTAGTGTGTGTGAGAGGTAAAATTTCAGTAGTGTGTGTGAGAGCGTTTCAGTAGTGTGTGTGAGAGCGTTTCAGTAGTGTGTGTGAGAGGTAAAATTTCAGTAGTGTGTGTGAGAGCGTTTCAGTAGTGTGTGTGAGAGCATTTCAGTAGTGTGTGTGAGAGCGTTTCAGTAGTGTGTGTGAGAGCATTTCAGTAGTGTGTGTGAGAGCGTTTCAGTAATAATGTCCTTACGGCACCTCATACATAGGGATGCTCCACTAGCTCAGAGATAAGCGTATACACGTACAGTTATCCCACTGACACCAAGAGGAAAAAAACAATTAATTTAGGAAGAACAGCCCAAGCTATGGATTGAACAACAGCAACAACAACAAATACATAAATGAATTCTATTCAAGGGCTCCTTGAACACTCAACTGTCCCCCCCCCCTCCTCCTTGTTCTAACAAAGACTAGAACATATAGAAGGATGTTGCTGGGTAGAGATTGAGAAACTTAGAGTAAATGTAAGGTAGCAAGGTAAAGACCTTACTATAATACATTTAAGATCAAACTAAAGGTGCTGTATCCCTGCACGGAATCTGCCAGCTGATCACCTTGGTGATTCCTGTGCTGAGAGAGAAAAAGACAGAAAACACGCCTAGATAGGCTTGAAGAGGTAAATGCATTAGAAGACAAGGTTTGGTTTTCATTACCCAAATTAAATTATTGAACTTCCTGTACCTGTTGATGTAGAACAAAGTG